GACAGAAGTAACAATCACAATCTCAAACAAAGCAAAAGCAAAAATATACCTAATTAAGATAGATAATCAAGGAAACCACACTTTGCTAAAAGGCACCATAGACTGTGAAGTAATATGTAAAACAAATTTACAAGTTTTTTTGATAAAGGTCTCATTTCTCAAATATATAAGGAATTGAGTCAAATTTATAAAAATAAGAGCCATTCCCCCAATTGATAAATGGTCAAAGAATATGAACAGATAGTTTTTAGAAGAAAAAAATCAAAATTATATCTATAGGAAAAATGCCCCAAGTCACTATTGATTAGAGAAATCCAAAAGAAAACAACTCTGAGATATCACCTCACAGTTATAAAAAATGACAAATGCTGGAGGGGATGAGGAAAAATAATTACACTGATGCACTAGGAGTTGTAAACTGATCCAGCCATGCTAGAGAAAAATTTAGAACCGTCATCAAATGGCTATAAAACTATACCTACTCTTTGACACAGCAATACCATCACTAGATCTGTATTTTTTTTAGGCAACTGGGGTTAAGTGACTTGCTCAGGGTTACACAGCTAGTAAGTGTCAAGTGTTTGGTCTGAGGTTGGATTTGAACCCAGGTCCTCCTGACTCCAAGGCCGATGCTCTATCCACTGTGCCACCTAGCTGCCCCCATCACTAGGTCTGTAACCTAAAGATAACAAAGGAAAAGGAAAAAGACCTATCTGTACAAAATTATTTATAACAGCTCCGTTTGTGGTGGCAAAGAATTGGAAATTGGGGTTGCTTATCAGTTGGGAAATGACTGAACAAGTTGTGGTATATGATGGTGATGGAATGCTATTGTGCTATACGAAATGATGAAGGAGGAGTTCAGAAAAAATATGGCAACACTTATATGAACCATTGCAAAGTAAAGTGAGGAGAACTGGAATATCATCATGCACATAACAGCAATGTTGCAGTGATTATCAACTGTGAAAGACTTGGCTATTTTGATCTATACAGTGATACAAGATAATGCCAAAGGACTCATGATGATATAATGCTATCCACCTCCAGAAAGAGAAGTTATCAGCTCTGAGTACAAATTGAAGTATAATTTTCTCATTCCTTTATTTTATTTTACTTTTTTGTGATATGGCTAATATAGAAATGTTTTGCAAGATTTCACAAGTCTAATTGATGTCATATTGCCTGCCCTCTCAATAAATGAGGGAGGGGTAGGAGGGAGGGAGAGAATTTGGAACTCAAAATTTAAAAAGAAAAGAATATTTAAAATATGTAAATAGACCTGAAGAGACTTCCAAGAGCCACAATGATGGAGTAGGCAGTAAATTAGCATAACTCTCCCATATTCACCTCCAAACAACCACAAAATAGTGCCCCTAGACAAACCCTGGAACAGTAGAACAGTGAAGAGATGAGGTGAAACAATCTTTTAGTTCAAGAAACCCAGAAGATTCACAGGAAAGGTTTGTCTCACTGGGGTAAAAGGGGAGCACAATCCAGGACAGGAAGCATCCCAGTAAACAACAGCAAGCCCCACCCCAGCATACCAGTGGGAAAACCTGACCCCACTATGGTGGAGCAAGCAAATACCAACATCAGGACCCTGCACCATGCCTTAGCCTAAGCCATAGGCAACTGGTCAGCCTCCAGCTGTCAGATCTTCATATGCTTCAGCGTAGCTCTGTACAAACAGGCAGCTTCCAGTAGTCAGACTTCCACGTTCTTCACTGTAGTCCCAGGTAAACACAGAAATACCCCACCAGTCTCAGCACACTCTAGACACTAGCACTAGGATCCTGGCTCAGCACCAGGTAAGCTGTCAGAACCCGATGGTCCCCAGCAGTACCAACCACCCCCAACACCACACCTTCAGCACAGCACCAGACACAGGGGTCACCCATGGGCCTGTTGCCCTGTTGCCCAGACTCTTGTCTTTGATTACATTAAATTAAAAAGCTTTTGTAAACCAGTGTAAAACCAGTGCAACCAAGATTAGAAGGAAAACAGAAAGATGAGCAAGTATCTCTGATAAAGGCCCCATTTCTCAAATATATAGAGAACTGAGTCAAATTTATAAGAATACAAGTTGTTCCCCAATTGATAAATGGTCAAAGGATATGAACAGGCAATTTTCAGATGAAGAAATCAAAATTATCTATAGGCATATTAAGAAGTGCTCTAAATCACTTTTGATTAGAAAAATGAAAATTAAAACAACTGTGAGGTACCACCTCACATCTGTCAAATTGGCTAACATGACAAAAAAGGAAAATAATAAATGTTGGAGAGGATGTAGGAAAATTGGGACACTGATGCACTGGTGGTGGAGTTGTGAACTGATCCAACCATTCTGGAGAGCAATTTGAAACTGTGTCCAAAGGGCAACCAAACTGCCCAAACCTTTGATTCAGTATTACCACTACTAGGTCTTTATCCAAAAGAAATCATAAAAAAGAAAAGGACTTACATGTGCAAAAATATTTATAGCAGCCCCTTTCATGGTGGCAAAATATTGGAAACTGAGAGGATGCCCATCAATTGGGGAATGGCTGAACACGATGTGGTATATGAATGTAGTGGAATACTGTTAGCAATAAGAAATGATGAGCAGGCAGACTTCAGAAAAACCTGGAAAGAATTGTACAAACTGATGCAAAGTGAAATGAACAGAACCAGGAAAACATTATATCCAGTATGAGCAGCATTGTGTGATGATCAACTGTGAATAACTCAGCTCTTCTCAGAAGCACAATGATCCAAGACAAGTACAGTAGATTCAGGAAGGAAAAAACTACCAACATCCTGATAAGGAACTGACGGACTTTGAATGCAGATCGAAGCATACTTTTTTTTTTTACTTACTTTATCCTTTTTTTGTGTTTTTATTCCTTTTGCTCTGTTTCTTCTTTCACACCTGTGATTAATATGGAAATATGTTTTACATGATAGCACATGTATAACCTATGTCAAACTGCCTACCATTTTAGGAAGAAAGGAGGGGAAGGAGGGAGAAAAATTTGGAACTCAAAAATACTGTAAAAATGAATGCTGAAGATTGTCTTGACGTAATTGGGAAAAATAAAATGACATCTTAAAATAAATAATAATTATTTTTAAGAGATCATTGGTAATTTTGAAGATAGCCGTTTCAGTTGAATTATGAAGTTAAATGCCAGATTACAGAGTTCAAAAGAGAATGAGAGTAAAGGAAGTGGAGAGATGAATTATATATGACTTTCTCAAGGAGTTTATCCACAAAAAGAAAGAGAAATATAGGACAATAGCTAGTGGTGATGGGTCAGATCAAGTGTAATCCCTCAATAGTCAAAAAAGCTTTCCCTATCTTTTCCAGTAGAGGGTTCTACCTTCCCCTGAAAACTACACCAGCAAAAGGATAAATTTGGGATGCATTGGACTCAGTATGGAACCTGCTATACTGATCACTCTTTCTCTTTTGGGCTCTGCATGGCTGTAAATATAATTAAGAAGTATAAGACCTTAGTCTGAAATATTCCAAAGAGAGTGCCATCATCCAAAGCTGCTTTACTGGAGCATTGTAAGCAGCAACAAAACTTTGGTGCTAATATGAACAGACTTCTTTTTAAGAAGAGGAGCAGAAGAGTATAGCAACATCCTGATGAAGAATATCTTCACCCAGTATGCACCGACCCAAATAATCAGAAACTAGAAGTCTTTTGTGGTGTCCAAAGTGTTTTGAGAAAAGTATTTGTTAGGTTAGGTCCCTGAGAGGACACTTTATGTTCACTGTTGAGATCCTGAAAGCAAGCTAATCAAGGAAGTGTTTAACCTGGCAGGAAGCAACTAAACCAATTATCCTGAAGGAGACCTTGATGCTCTGCTGAATATTTGAAAAAAAACCCAAAAACCTGAGGTCTAAGCAGAAGGTTTAACAGAGTCAGTATTATGGCTCTTCTAAAGCATGTCTTAATGCCATTAAGGATGATGTTGAATATTTTTCTCAAAATTGCAGAATCCTAGAATTTTAGAGTTAGAAGAGATTTCAGTCCAATTCATACCCCAAAGAAATCTCTGCTACAATTTACCTGATAAGATATTATCTGGCCTCTTGAAGCCAATCAGTGAGTTTGAACCTAACATCTCTAATTCTCTTTTTCTAAATTTTATTTATTTGTTTTTAGTTTTTAACATTCACTTCTGTAAGATTTTGAGTTCTAAATTTTCTCCCCCTCTTTCTGTTCCTCCCTCCCCAAGACAGCATACAATCTGATATAAGCTATATATGTACAATCATATTAAACATATGTTCACATTAGTCATCCAACACCTTTAATTCTAAGTAGTTTTTCTTGTTATTATACCAAAATTTACCACTTCATAAATTCTACTCTTTGCTTTTGCTCTAATCCCTCTGGAGATCATCTATCTTGCTCTGTATCTCACCACCATGATGCAAACTCAACTCCTTCCCATCTCCCTCAGCCTTCTCTCCCCTCTGATTGGAAAGCTGGAGGGAGGAGCACTAAACTCCCAAAGCTGTCCTTTATAGAAGGCAGCATTTGGACTTTGCAGTTCACTCCACTTTGCATCTGCAGCTGCCTCCATGCCAGGTACAACCTCCCCTTTCCAGCTTCCTTTTGTGCGTTGTCTTCACCTGTTAGATTGTAAACTCCTTGAGGACAGGGGCTATCTTTCTTTTTCTTATTTTTATCTCCAGCACTTAGCACAGTGCCTCACACAAAGTAGGCACTAAATAAATGTTTATTAAATTTATTGAAAATCAGTTAAACAATGTTCTTTCTTTAATCGGCACTATGTCTCAGCCTAATATTATAATTTAGGATATGAAAATAGGAGAAAAGATTGGAGAAAGAAATATAATTGTAGCAAAAGACAAAATAAGGATAATCTAATTATCTTAAAAACTGAATTCCTTAGCACTCTGAAATTTGCAAAGGCCATTTAGTGTAACATTAAACTGTAAATTTATGGGTGTTTTTGCTGTTATTTTTGCTTTCTAGGTTCCAGATTCAGAGAGGGACAACTGATTCAAACCACTATAAGAGCTTGGGAGATAGTTTTCTCAAAATTTACCATACAGAAAGGTATGTATGTATGTATGTATGTATGTATGTATGTATGTATGTGTATGTATGTATGTATGTATGTATGTATATGTATGTATAATATAAATATTGACTTTGAAATATATGTGTATACATGTGAATATGTTGTTGTTCAGTAATTATTTAGTCACATCCAACTCTTCCTGATCCCATTTGGGGTTTTCTTGGCAAAGGTATTAGAATAGTTTGCCATTTTGTTCTCCAGCTTATTTTACAAGTGAGGAAACTGAGGCAAACAGGGTTAAGTGGCTTGCCTAAGGTCACACAGATGATCCATAAATATCATTCCCAGAGCAAGAATGACACGAATCACATATGCTAAATGGTTTGGTTGTTTCTATTCTTTATTTGGGGTATCTAGGAGACAGAGGACTAGGCCTGGAGTCAGGAAGACCTTAGTTCAAATTCAGCTTCAGATACTTACTAAGTTGTGTGACCCTGGGCAACTAGCTACCTTAACCTCTATTCCCCTTAGTTTCCTCATATTAAAAAGAAGTATAATAATAACACCTACGTCCAAGGGTTGTCATGAAGATCAAATGCAATAATAGTTGTAAAGTACTTAGCATAGCGCCCGTCACATAGTAAGCACTATATAAATATCAATTTATTATTATTATTATTATTTTTAATTTCCCAAATGATCCCAGTTCATGTTTTTACTCAACACAGACTTCCAAAATATTTTAGATGTATTTTCAGAAACTCTTTTCATAGGGACAGCTTGGTACAATAGAAATTACCCCTCACTGGGAATCAAGACACTGGATTTCTGGTCTAGATGCGAGCATTAGTTAATTGTGGGATCTTGGACAAGTTACATGAACTTGAGTTTTAAGTGCTTTACTTTCCTCGTGTGTAAAACGAGGAGGGTTGGATTAGATGGCCTTCACATTTGCTTTCAGTTCTAATGTTCTATGATTCTAATAGAATGGATTGAAACCAATAATAAAAAAAAAAGAACAAACAAACTATGGAATGTTAGTAGGTGCGTAGATTCAGTCTGGTTCTCAGGCCTGTGGGGCAGAAGTCAGACTCCTGTAAACATTAACAGGAAGCTGGGATGCATAAGTGCATAAATATTGTGTTAACTAAATGCAAAATGTGAAAAAGATATTGGAAAATGTTTTTGTGTATTGGGATCTATACGCCTCAATAGTCAACTCACTGGAACATATGGAGTCTTGCTGACCTGATGAATTTTGCACTGAACTTACTACCAAGGAATGACTTAGTTATCATGCCAGAGGCATTTATTGTAGCACTTCCCATTTAACGTGGGAATTTTTTTGAAATTTATTTTGGAACAAAAGTTTGAACAAATGTTTTAAAAAGGGGAATTCATGCTTTCCTTCATTCATTGACATACTGTGTATGTCACTGTACTTGTGTATGTATGTACTTATGCATGCACTGTACTTCATTAATCCCTATGTCTATCATTCCCCAAAGATTTGTTGCCTTTTTTATCTGTAGTATAACTTTAGTGCCTTGAACTTTGGGTCTGCTTTATGGATAGGTAACCATTTTATAGTATGATACCTCCCTTACTATCTATCAAATTTCATAATTAGGGATTCATTCCTATCGTTTAAATCCTTACCTTTGAATAAAATGTAGATATCTCTCCAAAAGAGGAAACATTAAACCTTACTAGCCAGTGATATTTTAGTATGAATAGATTTATCTAGAAAGGTCTTTTAGATGGGGGTCATTAGGGCACTATTATTTTGGAAGCAAGAAGATAGGAAGGAGGAAGTATAAAAAAGGCCAGGAAAATGAGAAGTTGGGGCAGGCCACTGACAAAACTTCACTTATTTCTCAGTTTTGCTTCGAGTTAGTGCTAAATACACCATAAAAAGCCTCAAAAGATCTGAAAGATTTAATAATCACCTATAGTACTAAATATTTTTTCAACAAGTCTGAGATTTAGGCTGAATGTAGATATATTTGGAGTATTATCTTAGTTTAACATTTGAGGAAGGACATTAATAAATTAGAAAACATAGATAGAAATCTGTTGATAATGAAAGTGGAACATCCAGGGAATTAGTTTATCCACAAGGATTTAAGCTCCTGCTGTGTGATAGGCACTGAAAAAAAAACAACAACAAGCAAACATTGTTTACATAAAGACAAGGAATGGAACATTCCTTGTATTCAAGAGATTATGTTCTATTGGAGGGTATAACATGCATGTAGAAAATATATACAAAGTGACATAACAAGAATGATATAACATGTTTTTCTTTCTTTTCAAATTAGTACCTTTTTTATCTTGTGATTTCTTTTGATGTGGCACATATGGATTTTGGATTTATTACACCAGTCTCAACTTTCACTAGCAGAAAGGGTCCCAAGAGCACAGCTGCTAGGTTTCTGAGGGTTCTTGAATTCAGCCTGAGGTTCTAGAAAGTATTGGTCAAATTCTGTATAACTCAAAAGCCCCCACCAGTATGCTTCCCACCAAATCAATTAGATAATGGGACAATATGCTTTTATAAAGAAGTATTTTCTAAGGTGTTATAGTAATAGTTGGTACAAAAATTCCAAAAGTCTCTAATGCACTCTCCCACAAGTACACACAGAGTCCAGGGGAAAATAGGCTCAAGTTCAGAGCACATATTGCCAAGAGGTAATGTGCAGCTCCTGGAAGTGCTTTTGTTTTAGTCCTCAAGATGTCCATCTTAGTTATAGTGTTGTTTTTCTGCTAAGCTCTTTGAAGAGCCTTGAATCTGCTTTGTTTTTCTCAACCAGTCTCTTCTTGGTTCCCAATGCAGACACTGTTGCGGTTATTCAGTTCATATGCTGGTATGAAAATGAGAAGTCCAAAATTCTCTAGACCCCCCATGAAGTACAAAAAGTACTTTGATAGTCAAAGTGGGGGGCAGAAGGAGAGCAGGCCCAGGATAAGACTGAAGTTCTCTTCCTCTTCCCCACCATAAATTTCTTTTTTTAATATGGGGCTCTCTTTTTTTTCTATCACCAGACACAAATCTCTCTAGCCCGAATTGACTCAATATTTTATAGATGACCCACAGGACAGGAACAAAATTCTTCAGGCAATCCAAAATACACTTCCTATACAACATGACTCCAGTTCATCAAGGACTCTCCCCACCCTCCCACCTCCTCACAGTAAAGTCTTTGATTAATATGTGTCCTTACTGGGTTAAGATATTAGAGGAATTATGTAAGATACATTCAGTTGACCCCTACTTTTACACTCATTGTTGTTGTTCAGTTGTTTCAGCCACGTGTAACCCTTTGTGACCTCATTTGGGGTTTTCTTTGCAAAGATACAGGAGTAGTTTGCCATTTCCTTCTCTAGCTCATTTTACAGATGAGGAAACTGAGGTAAACAGAGTTAAGTGACTTTGTCCAGGGTCACATAGCTAGTAAGTGTCTGAGGCCAGATTTGAACCCAGGGAGATGTCTTCCTGATTCTAAGCCCAGTACTCTTATCTACTGTGCCACCTAGCAGCCCTATGTTGTTGTTTCATTTTCAATTGTGTCTAACTCTTTTGACCCCATTTGGGGTTTTCTTGGCAGAAATACTGGAGTGGGTTGCCATTTCCTTCTCCAGCTCATTTTACATATGGGGAACTGAGGCAAACAGGGTTAATTGACTTGCCCAGGGTCACACAATTAATAAGCGTCTGAGGCCAGGCAAAATACAGATTTAAATGCCTTTTCTAGATAGCTGGAAGTCTACATCAGGGATTAGGGTTAAAGTTTGAGTTTGGGCCCAGGTTAGTCTTGGGTTAGTTAAGTAGTGTTGGATTAGAACTCAGAAAGATCTGAGTTTGAATCATGCCTTAAACAATTACTAGTTGTAATTGTACTAGGGGAAATTTATTTCGTGTCTCTAAGCCTCAGTTTCTTCCTCAGTTAAATGAGATAGCACTTATGTACTGTTATAGCACTTATAATAACAGTGTTGTGAACATCACAACTTGCATATATAGTAGCCATTGTCATTATTAACCTCCACAAAGCTGAAACAGCCTCTGTGAGCTGAAAACAACCAACAGACACTTCTCACATACAGTGAAAATACCTGACCAGAGAACATGAATGGAGGGGTACATACGTAGGAGACACATGTGGCCAGTGAAAAGTCTTCATAGGAGCTGCAGACAAGTAGAAGGTATTAGAAGGTATAACCATGGTGACATGTAGCAGAGAGCACAAAGCAGTAGAGGACCCAGCCCAGTGAAGAAGGCAGCTCACAGGCAAACAACATCACCAAAAGACATAGGCAACTGTGTAGGGGTAAAAGCAGCAGGGTTGATTGTAGAGAAGGCTTTCAGGAGAGAGGCTGCCAACATGAGCTGTTGTTGTTCAGTTGTTTTGCAGTCATGTCCAACTCTTTATGACCCCATTTGGGGCTTCTTAGAAAAGATACAGGAGTAATTAACCATCTCCTTCCTCAGGTCATTTTACAGATTAGGAAACTGAAGCAGTATTAAGTGGCTTTGCCCATGGCCACAAAGTTAGGTGCATAAAGCTAGATTTGAACTCGGGGAGATGAGTCTTCTTGACTCCAGGCCTGGCACTCTATCCATTGTACCATCCAGCTGCCCCAAGAGCATGAGCTTATCTTAGCCATTTGTGTTTCCTGGTAACATGTCATGTTCCCTGGGTATGTGAGGGAATGTGAATGGAAGGAAAATATCACTGTGGAGGGTATGTTTAGAGGCATGAAGTATGAGACTTATGGCTTTACTAACCCTTTAAGGTTAATAAAGTTTTTTTCTCAAAACAAAACAACAAGTCATTAATTGCTTTCCTTTTACAGAAGATGACACTGAGACTCAATGATGTTAAATGTCAGTGCTAGAACTAGAAAACGAACACCAGTATTGCGGTTCTAAATAACATGTCTTTTTTCACTGCACCGTGATAGAAGGCATTGTTCCAGGATATTAACATCGGGGGGTGGAGGATGGGGATGCTTCCTTCCTTCAGCAGTCATT